AGATACACGTCTTAGCACTGGCTTTTCCATTTATACACGAGATCAACAAAAGTTATTTCCTTTGTCAAAAACAACTGTCTTAGGATGTTCTGGTTGTTGGTGCGATACACTTACTTTAACTCGTCTTCTAACAGCTCGCATGCAGGTAAATTTCAAAATACATAAATTTATGAATGAAAAATTCTGACTATTACATAAAGAAATAGACATTTATAATATGTCCAGCAATATTATTCCATATCCTCTTTATATTTAAAATTTACAAAGTTATTCATTATCATTTTTGTTTTACCTCTCATAGATGTATAAGCATGAACATCAGAAGGAAATGACAACACCAGCAGTAGCACAAATGTTAACAACAATGTTATATTACAAGCGTTTCTTTCCATATTACATTAGTAATATTCTTGGTGGATTAAATGATCAAGGAAAGGGTTGCGTATACAGTTATGATCCAATTGGACATTGTGAAGAAACTAAATATAGAGCAGCTGGTTCATCTGGTGCACTTTTGCAACCTCTTCTCGACAATCAGGTATAAAAAGCATTGGAATATGTTTTACTAACTACATCACAGGTTATTAACTGCATTAATATATTTTTCAGGTTGGATATAAAAATCAAGAAGGTGTTGAACCTATTCCTTTAACTGAGGAAAGAGCTATTTCAATAATAAAAGATGTTTTCATTTCGGCGGCAGAAAGAGACATTTACACAGGTGATTCTATAAGCATCAAAGTAATAACAAAGGATGGTATAAAGGAATCAAGTTTTGCATTGAGAAGAGATTAATTAAATGAAATAAAAATAATGTATTATCAGGTTTCTGTACGAATAAAAATAAGACCAAATGGTATAATTCATGTTTATTTAGTAATTTCTCTCATGTACAAGCTATACTGTGGTGTATAATGAAATGTTACTAGATTATAAATTAATACTTCAATCTCTATGCAAATATGATGATGTATGATGCTTACGAATGCATTTGTGTATTTATAAATATGATTTTTTAATCATTATAAAATTGATCACTGATCTTTATATATACATAGCAACAACCTTGTAATGTTATTTATAATAATACAACGTTATTTAGTTTCTTCGAATGAACATTCAAGAAGATGAAATAATAAATCTGTTTTATAATAGAATCAATGACGTGTATTTGAAAATGTAACAAAATAGTATATAAAGATAAATTAACAGCTTTTTTTGATAGTTCCGGTATCAAGTGCTTGTAATTTCCTTTAAATTAAATAGAAATGTAATTCTGTTTTATACATGAGGACATATAATTATCTATTTTACAATACACAGTAATATATTTATAAAATAATATTTTAAAATATGTAATAAAATAACCAAAGATGAATAGGGTGGAAGTAGTAGTTGCTCTCAATCCTACAATTTTGTTTTTGCAGTTCTGTTTAGGGAACGATGCGTCAGGGTAGAAAGTTGAAATTTTTTCCCCCCGAGATTCACTTTTTTGTCCCGGGGGTTGTTAACGGTTTTCCACGATCTTTCCCACGTAATTTTATTCCTAGCACTCGTTCGATTTTACCAATCACCGTCTGATTTGGAATACCACGACCAGCTTCATAGTCATTGATGACTTGTGCCTTTTCATTTACTTTCTATACAATAATTAAAGAAACGATGTACGTATCTATATATACAAATACAAACCATGAAAACAGATCCAAATAAATAACATTAACATACTGTGGCAAGATCTTTCTGAGACATTCCTTTACTTTGCCGGCCTTGTTGAATTAATTTACCAAGGTCAAGTGGGATTTTGTCATGTTTCAGTTCTTCAGTCTCTCTATCTAACTTAGCAGTATTTTTAGTTGTTACATGTTGTCTGTTTGCTCCTCCGCCCCCTAAAAAAAAACCAATGTTTTTTAATTTTGTTTCTCTTACAAAACAAGAATTTATTTCTCTATGTTACGTTATTATTATTGCATCATATTATCAGCTATCTGTGTACCATGTTATATCAGTTGCCATTAATGCCTATATACTGTTTTGTATACAAAGAAAGTCTATGCAAAACAAATATTATTTTGCATACAAAAGGGTTATTTATTTCTAAAGAGACTTAAAAAGATATTGCACGTACATTTCGCTTGTGTTTCAACAGCATAACCTTGACGACGTGCAGCATTCACCGCCTGTAAATAAACACAATTACACAATCGTGTGGTTAATGAACACCACAGACAAAATACGCCGAAATTTCGGTCGAATAATATTACCTGTTCCGATTTAAGTACTGAAGCCTTTGGTGGACGTTTACGTAGAGTAATTGGAGCGGTATCCCAGTCTGACATACTGAAAATCTGATAAAACAACAGTAGTTCAAAATTATATTATCGATGTCGCACGTAATGCATGTAGGTAACTCTTGTACAGTATTATACTTGCTACGAATCTTCCAGTAAGTTCTCTCTACGTTCCAAAAAGCACGATCTACGTGCGACCTAAAATCGACCCATACCAAAATTGTCCAATTTTCTATTGATACTCTTGATAGTGTCTTTCAAATTTGTCACTTGATTTCATCTCTATAAATACGTCCTTCAATTTTATTACAAATCAATTTCCATAATCCCTTTTATTACAAAAAAAAATTGACTCTTATTACATCCAGTTACTACCAAGTTTTTATATTTGATCAGCCGTTCGTAAGTTGTAGTACCGCGACATTTCAAATGTACTCAAGTACCTATATTGATTTAAAATTATACTTAAATTTTTTTATAAATGATGAATTAAATATGAAACATTTGTAGACATATCGATTATTAGATTGTTTATAATAAAATTAATTATTTGTCACGGACATAGAAACATGCGAGACACACAAAAAAGCATGTAATTAATATATTCAAATAACTACTATCTTAACGATTTTATTAGAATATAGAATTCGATTTATGTATTTAATTTTTCCATTATAATTTATTATAGTAAATATTTACAGAAAAATATATTCATATTATTATTTGCATAGCTCGATTAATTTTATGGTAATCTTTGTAAAGTTCTTTTTTGTTTATTTGCTTAAGGTTAATGTAAATGATAATTACTATATAATCTAGCAATTTTTATTTCCTAACTCGTTGTGCTCTCATATTCAACGACTGTACCACTGATCATAGTGAATGGTTTGTTTTTCCATGTCACGCAAGCACAGTAATCGGTTAAGTCATTCTTGCATCGCGTTTTACATAGGTATCTCAAAACGAAGAGTCGTTTGAAGAATTTCGAACAAATGCGAAATGTCTTTGATTAGTACACTTTGGAAATGTACATTTAGTCCTCGGCTATTTAAAGTTTATGAAATAACATGGATCGGTCGTCTGGTCGACGTAAGTAGAAATAATTACGTGGAAATCTTTCAAATTGTTGCATTTTAGGTTATACCTACTTCAATTTATTTCAGAAATCATACGAACCAAAAGTTTTAGAACGATGGAGCGATCAAATTGTAATTTGCGTAAGTATTTTTTAAAAAATTCCAAAATTAGTAAATATCAATAATCTTGTCCTGTAATAACACATCTATACAATTACAAGATAATAATTACAATGTATAACTTGTTAAATTTCATTTTAATTTTAACTAATCTTTAAATGTAATAGAAATTATGAATGTGTAATGTCAGTAGATATTAATATAAATAATTTAGAAATATTAATCACACACGTTAATTGTATTGAATTTGTTTCAGTTTGCAGCAATTTGGTCAATAAGCCTGTATACAATACCACTAGTTGCCACATTTTTTTATCAACGCAGTAATCCCTTAATAGATAATGTTTATTTCCTAAGCAAAGTTGCAACTGGCGCTGTTGTAATTTTAATTGCATCTTTGGCAGCACGTGGTTATTCCAGAGCAAATAATCCAACATATTTGAAATTCTTGAAAACATTAAATGATGCAACTGCACATTATAACACAGAAACTAAGCAAGAACTTCAGAAGTATGAGTTTGAGTTCTGGGCATGGCCTATAGATTTTAAAATTTCTGATGTTGAAAGGTAGCTTATTTTACTTACTATAATAATAATTAATTCAAGTTCATTTAAGATTATATAAATTTATATTTGCAGGGAGAAGCTACACGAGAAATTAACATTAGAAAAAATTGCAGCTTCTAGTGGGCGTATAAAAAGACAAACTAATAAAGAATTTGTATTTACATTGCCTTGTAAATTATTATCATACATTGTAGCTCATACTTTTGCTATTAAAATGATATACCCTGGAAGTATATCAGTTATTAATTGGGTATTTCGTAAGTTGTACAATTCTATATAATACATATTTCATTTATATTATATTATCATTTAATGACAATATATACTGGCAACATAGGTTCTACACTTTTGAAAGGACGAATAGATTTAATAAAACAAAGTGGTGAGAGATACAAATTGTTATCTGCAGATAACAATGAAATTGACACAATGTTCATTGATAAACGAAACAAGTAATATAAATACTAATATTTTTTCCAACAATCTTGTTTCGCAACAAATTATTTTTAAATAATTTATTTTTACTTCCATAGGACAACAGAAGGGAATGTATTAGTCATTACTTGTGAAGGAAATTGCAGCTTTTATGAGACTGGGGTTGCATCAACTCCTCTAAAAAAAGGATATTCCGTATTAGGATGGAATCATCCAGGCTTTGGTAGCAGCACTGTAAGTATTATTTTTGAAAATAAATTCTTTACATTTCATTTATGATAATGCTCCGATGAGAAGAATTGCTGTTACTCTTATACACCAGTATTCCAAAGGTGAAATTTTGGCAATGTTGCAGTTAATAGCAATCATATATGTATATTAACTAGAATTGAAGTAATGGCAAGACTTCTCCTTCGGCCAAACTATGATTATAAAATTGTAACAGTAAGACATGAAAATGACTACAAAGGGTGCCCCGTATCCTCTGCAAGAAGAAAATGCTATCGATTGTGTAATGCGTTTTGCAATCGAACACTTAAGGTTTCCTGAGGAACAAATAATTCTTTATGGTTGGAGTATTGGTGGATACACTGCTACTTGGGCTGCGATGAATTATCCTTCTATTCAAAGTCTAGTAAGATCTTATACTATGTAAGGAATAACAATTAGAAAGATTTCAAGGATAATTATTTTAAATTATAATAACGCATGTTCTAGGTATTAGATGCGACATTTGACGATGTACTTCCTTTAGCCATTATGACAATGTCCTCGTCGTTAGAGGGTTTAGTACGGAACATTATTAGAGACTATTTTAATTTAAATATAGCGGAACAGTTAAACAGGTACATATACTTACAGTATTTCGTTAAAATATTTTCTACAGAAATGTGTACAGTCGTCCGGTTTCCTTCGCAGATTTAATGGTCCTGTGTTGCTTATACGAAGAACAGAAGATGAAGTAGTATGCACACCCAGTAATACTTTAGCAGGCAACCGTGGCAACATGTTGCTTACAAAACTTTTGATAAAACGTTATCCACAACTTTTCTTAGATACTTCAGAATGCGGTGCACTTTTAACAAGATTTTTGTCGGCTGATGTTTCTACTAGAAGTAAGAAAATATTAACTTGTTTACAATTCAAACTACTTCTTGGGTATTGCAATGTTACGATGGATTTATTTCAGAATCAATAATCGATGCGGTGAAGTTTGACGAAAAGCAGTGCTTGGAAATAATTGCACAAGACATACAAAAAAATGGCGGTATTGTACATTATCCTTCTACTCTTGGGCAAGACTGTGATTCTCAAACAAAACAACAACTTATACTCTTTTTCGTACGTATAAAAATAAGTTTGATTTTTATTAATACATGTTCATTTACACATATATTTCTTATTTTAGGCAACAACGTACATGAAAGATCAACCGTCAACACATTGTTCACCGTTAGCCGTGGACTTATTTCATCCAGGATGGCATCCAGCATCCACAACAAAGAAAAGGAAAACGGATACATGATATGCAACAGTGAGATTAATGTATAAGTGGAGGAATTTAAAAAAAAAAGTATTTACAATGCTCATAAAATAATGAAAGAAAGTTCCGTGATGTTATAATTATCTAATTATTAGGAACTTCGTTCAAAATTCTAATTTTATGATAGACGACACTTTCAAGGATTATAGTAATGTAAGGACTAAGGTTTTCAATTAAGTATGAAATTACTTTATTTACACTGTTTCTTTAAACACGTAATAAACACTCGCGGAACTTACAAAGTTTTCAATGCATTTAATCTTGTTTTTACTGCTAAGCATTATTTATTCTGTACAAATTCCAAACTATTCTTCATATTCCAAATTGACGAGTACAATTTTTATGTTTACTTTTGAAGTTCTAGTCTACCTTTGATACATATAATCAAAAAATTGATATCATCGGTGATGGGAAAAGAGCATTGATATATATGCCGAAATATAAAATTGAACAATTATATTAAAAAATCTTGTTTTGAAAATTCATTACAATGTGGCATTTAGCGATATATCAATAAAATATTTTTTATTTTTCAAACATTTGTAACGAATTTGATTCAATTAATTTGTAGGTGAACAATTCTTATCAAATATAAAATTCGCACTGAACACTTAACAAGTAATAAACTGTATACATCGCATGGTACATAATCCTTTCTTTTTATAGGGCCGTTTAAAAACATGTTTTATGATTTGCAAAATTTTTTAAATAAATAGTTACATCTTATTATCGATATTCTGCAAATCAACGTATGTATGTATCTTAATGTTTATTATGTATTCTGTATACGATTTAGAACAACTCTAAGTGAATCTTTTGACTCCTGGGACGAATCTATAATCTTTCTGTTATTTTTCATTGGTTTGTCTAAGAATAATCTTAATGTATTTCGTGTATCGTTTAAAAAATAATCCTTATAAACCACTTGCTCTAATGCTTTGAAACAACCTTCTAAGTCCCAATCAACTTTTCCACTGTGTTTATCTTCGCTCTGAAATTAATAATGTATTCAAATTTTGTTTATAGTACAAATTAGTACATACTTTAACTCTGAAATCACACTCACTTTGATTAAACCTAAGCTGACTAGCAAAGCATTATTCCAAATAGATGTTTGATCATTTTCCACAGCGAAGGAACATAACTTCGAATATAAAGAATCTGTTATATTTTGAGCTTTTCTCCTAACATCAATGTAGCCACTTGAACATAGTGTTGATATTTTCATAACTACTCTTGTGAGTTCTTCAATGAACTTTTGCTCTGGAGATGTATCAGCGTTTTTGGATAAATCCTAAAATATAAAAATGTCTTTAAAGATTACGAAATACTATTATATAATTACATTATATTTACTCACTTTAGCATAATCTATAAAATCTTGTATATTATCATCTTGCAATAGTAACAATTTGTCAGATGTTGGTGATTTTAAAAATTGTGAAACAGTTATTTTTGAGACTGTAATATTGTCTGGTGTCTTGTTTCCATTTTCAACTGCATCTTCATCATCTTCATTTTCTTTACTGTCACTATCACTGTCTTCTTCCTCTTCCTCCTCCTCCTCCTCCTCCTCCTCTTCTTCTACTTCTTCATCTTCAACTTCATCTTCATTGTCTGTTTTGTATTCTTCATCATTGTCACTTTCGAATCCACATAATGATCCAATTCTTTCAGAAATGGTAAGTGATTCTTTTAACATAGTCCACCCTTGACTTCCAAAAGAATTTCCATTTAATTGCAAAGTTTTTAGATGCTGTTTATCAGCCATAGCATCAGCTATTGCAACTGCTCCTTTTGTGTGAATTTCATTGTAACTTAAAATTACTTCCTTTAATAAAGGATGATTATCCTTGATTCCTAATGCCTCTGCAAGAACTAAACATCCTTGTGTTTTGAGCAAACAGTCTCCTAAATTAAGATGTTCTAACTTTTTGAAATTTGGTAATGCTTTAGCAAGAGCCTGGGCTCCTTTCAAACGAACTGTATTATCATTAAGATTTAAAATTCTTAATCCTGGATTAGCCGATAATCCTTTTGCAAGTGCTTCTATGCCTTTATAATAAATACCATTCTGATGCATGACAACCTCTTCCAAAGTGGTCAATTTTTGGAAAACTGATGCCAGTGCTGTTGCACCATCATTTTCTAGTCTGTTTCTTCCCGCTACAAATACTTTCAACGCCAAAGGAGATGTTTCTATAAATAAAGATGAATTTATTTACTAATTCGTTAATTCAGTAGTTTAAATAATAAAAAAAATAAGTCAATAATAAGACTTACGTTCTTTACAGCTATTGTCATAGCAATCGGACAATGCTTTTGCCAACATATTACCACCAGATGTTCCAAGCCCATTGTTATTCAACCTCAACTCACGAAGAGTATAACATGCACTGGATGTCAAGAACGAGGCTAATCCTTGTACACCGATTGGTCCAAAAGCATTATCGCTTAAATCTAATTCAACGAGACGAGTGCCAGCAATACACAAGCTGTTACCAAGATATTCAATAGCTTTTGGTATTTCAGTCTTTAAACGACCAGTAAACATATCTTTCCAAAGCGCACGTTTTAGGAAGGAACCTTTTTCTTTTAATACCTCAGCCACAGCTTTAGCAGCCAGTGGTCCCAAAGTATTACCTTCTAAATCCAAGTATTCTAATTTAGTGCAGTCTTGTATGGCTTTCACAACCACCAACGCTATTAAATAAAGAAAAAAAATTAAACGTAATTCCAGTATAAATTATTACAATCGTATTGCATAACTGTATAAACATTATATAGTAATGAAATGTAAATCCTTTGCAAAGTAATTACTTACCATCCTCTTCAGAATCAAGCTTGAGAGTTTTATTAGCGAAAGACACGCCGGTACCGGTAGAATTCCCAGTAACATCTTTCAGTTGATTTTCAAGTTCACTTAAATTAAATGAAGTCATATTTCAGTTTATTTACACCTAACCACACTACGTGATCACGAATTTCTTCTCAATATTCCTCTGTAGTTTGTAACTTCGATGAATCAGTACTATAAATATTAATTTTTTTTAGCAACAGATAACAGCTACTACGGAGAATCATTCATAATATTGTTAGAACGAGAACGCGTCACGCACGCGGTAACGTACGCGGGAAAAGTCTACCAACTGTTCAAGAAAAAAAGATTATCTATTTTACTACGCATTGCTTGTATCGTGTTATACACGTAATTATACATTACCCGCATAATCACTGTCTTAATAAACCCTGTATCAGATACATTCCATGTAATTCCACCGACTGAAAACCGAGCTGAAAAAATGGTTAGTCTGATTTCTTCTGTTCCATGATCAGATTCGTTTATGTTACCATTTCAGCCAATAACGAAATCACGTATGATCGATAACCAATCAGACCAACAATCTTTCCGCTAATCGTCCATCCAACTTCACATAACACCCCTAACAACAACGCCAAATACGCAACGCGTAAATACCGTTATTTCCATGAATAAAATTCCATCCGTCGTTGCACAACAGATCGAACAAGTTTCGCGCCAAACGCGTCGCGTCTACGTGTTACGTGTTCATAGGTATACGCCCGCAGTTGCAGTCCGCTGCTGCACAGTCCGCACCCGTGCGTTCGTGTAGTGCGTCTCAGAAAACTCTCCTTATCGGAACACCGACGTATATGTACACACGTACACGCGTACACGAAATCGAAATTTCAAAAGCGATGGAAAAAGGGTCTTGGCGGCGGTGAACAGCGTACCTTGTACGGGGATAGGTATCGGTGTCGGATCAGCGTTAATGTGGCCAACGTATGAAACGGCGGTGCGGTTTGTCGCTGACGAAGCTGGTGGTTGTTTTGAGGCTGGAGTGTTACCCGATTAGAATGGTTGCAAGTGTCGCGCGCGCATCGCTGCCAGCCTGTAGTGTTGTGCCAAAATAAATCCGAGTCGAGTTGTTCCTCCTCGCTGGGAACTGCCTAGTGGACGAATGTGCCTCACCGTTCGGAACCGTTTCGAAACGGCAGGCCGAGCTATGCGGAGCCCCGATTACCCGCTCTTTTGTCTCGAGGACTACGATGGGTGTCACAGCCACCCGCTGATGTGCAGTCCGGTATTTTAAAAGCGACCGGCCTCGCCGAGCGGAAGTGTTTTTCGCTTGGCCATCACCTATCTCTGCCGTGGGATTTCGATTTTCCTGGCCGGACCGAATATCCCGTACAACCTTTGAGAACGAGGCTGTAGCACGCGACTCTCGACTCTCGTGTTTTCCAACAACCTTATCCGCCCTGACGTGATTCGCCCGGTTTGCCCGCCACAGGACGGGTTATGTTTCCCACTTTCATCGGAATCCTAGGTGAGCACTTCGGCGTTCAACGCGACACCGCGATCCGCTGGATCGGTGCGACGGTCTCTTTTATTTTTATATTCAATTTTCATTCTTTTTTCTCTCTCTCACACTCTCTCTCTCTTTCTCTATCTACCTATCTATCTCTCTCTTTTTTATACGATTCTTCGTTTTCCCCCCTTTTACCTCGGTTGTATCACGCCGATTATCTCTCGTGGAAAATCGATGCCCACAATTGAGAGTCCTTGTCAATGACCCCAAGTTTAGCAACAGAATTATTTTCATTGTCTTTTTTCCTTTCTCGCTCTTTCGCTCTCTCTTTCTCTCTCCTTCTCGCCTCCCACCCCACTCCTCCTCGGTCAGTCTCTCGCTCTTTCTCTCTGTCTTTCTTTCTCTCTCTTTTTTTCTCTCTTTCTCTCTACGTATGTTTTGTTTCTCTTTTGTTTTACTATTTCGCGTTACATTCTATGCAGAGTATATCGATGCACGATCGCATTATATTCGTATCTGCGATTGATTTTTATTCACCGAATGTGTTCCCGCTTGGTTATTTTGAAACGTAGCATTCCCTTACATGAATATTTAAGGTTTTTCCCCCCTCTTTCTTTTTTTCTTGTGTTGTTTAATCGACGGT